GCGGGTGGGGGGAGGTTTGGCTGCACTGGGTCACTGTGGGAGCAGGAGGGAGAGGACAAGGAAATGACCAGGTGAGGGCTCCTCTGCCCCACCCCCACTGTCCTGTCAGTCTCCAGGCCTGTGCGACCATGAGGGCGAGACTGGGAAAGCCCTCCAGGTCCCCCTCTAACCCTAAGGTGGCCTGTGCTGTGGGCCCACTTCTTCCAGGTGATGGGGAGAGTGGAGAGGCTGGGGTGGGCGGAGCAGCTCCCCTGGGATGACACTGCTGTGAGCAGACTGGGAGCTTGCACACAACTGCCTGTGGCCTCCTTGTGCACGTCCCCTCCCTGCGTCCCCTCAGAGGCCAGATTCATCTTGTGGATGGGAGTGGGGAAGTACTTACCTAAGTCAGAATGTCCCTTTCCTACTGTCTAAAGTTTTTCCCGACATTATTCCTCTATGACTGCAGCATCCCGAAAGCGTTCCTCCCCAGCAGCCCTCATTCCTCCTGGCGTTGAGCAGGGACTGCCATAAGGGGAATGTCTGCGTGGCAGAGCAGTCCTCACCTTGTCTTTGCTGCTAACTTATTTCTTTATTTTGTACCTGACTGTTGAAATGAAGAACTAGATGTAGATATTTCCTTTCATTCCATCGGTTGTCTTTTCACTTTCTTGGTGATGTCCTTGATATACAAAAGTTTTACATTTTTATTAAGTCCAATTTATGTGATTTTTCTTTTGTTGTTTGTGCTTTTCATGTAATATCTGAGAATTCTTTGCCAAATCCAAGATCATGAAGATTTTTTTCCCATGTTTTCTTATCGAATTTTAATAGTTTTAGTTCTTATATTTAGGTCATTGATTGATTTTGAGTTAATTTGTATAGATGGTGTAGATTGGTCTAAATTCACTTTTATATGTTGATGTTGTAAACTGCTTTCTCTACCAGAGTTTATATGTATTTTTCTACTTAGGTAAACAAAGGTGTACACATAGACATACATGTAAGCCAGTTCACATTTTTCAAGTTCAGAGCTGTTAGGGAGATTAAATGACATCTTGTAAGTGACATTGACGTAGCCGAGTTGAGATGGATCTGACAGTGGTACTTGGTTTAGGGGACATACACTCTCAGGCACTGGGCAGGGGAGTAATTACAGACTCCCTTCCTTCCCGGGGGCTTCCCTGCCCACGCGTGTTTCTTATTTCTTTCAAAACAATGGCTGCTCCAAAGCCCTCTGCCATCTCAGTGCACACTCGCCCTGTGTGTGTTGGTGATAGCTCTGCTGTTACTGAGTTATTTGGGTGGACAAGGCCAACCCTTAGAGACAGGCCTTGTCCTGGGAAGCCAGGCTGCACCCTAAGACCACAGTGCCTGTGTCTGACTGAGGGCCCAGCCCTGGATCTTGCCCCATCGGTGGAGGACTGGTTCTCAGATGTCACCCATCTGGCTGTTCCCTCAACAAGAGCAGAGTGGGACTCTGAGAACGTGATTTTCCATGGGTCTGCATCTCAGGAACAGGGGTTGGGGGTCATTCTCCTAGGGGGCCACCCTGGGGATGGTCCACCATCCTGGACGCCAGCTCCTTGCCTGGTTACCTCTAATGGTTGTCATTGCTCCTCCCTACTCACGTGTGTCATCATTCAGAGCTAAATAGTTTCACTTTTCCCATGACTTCCTTTCCTATAACCATCACAATCAGTCATTCTGGAAACACAGCCTCGTGTGTCCCGGACTACTGCTCCCTGCCTCCAGGACCCTCCTGCCTCCATCTGTCCCTCTCCTGCTTCAGGTTAATGAGGCCCCACTGCAGCTCCCTCGACAGGTGTCTTCATGTCTCCCACTTCACTCTCTGTGGGCAGGTCCCCCTGGCAACACCCCCGCCAAACAGATTGACCCAATTACCCCTCTTCGGAGCTGATATTGGACTGTCTCTTGCTGCTGGCGAAAATCAGACCACCACTGTGTGCTCACCGAGCCAACTTCCCTCTGCTCAGCAGCGGCCTCACTGGCTGCCGTGCATGTGGGGAAGCCGGCCTGCTCTCCTCCGACTGCTTCTCTTACACCTCCCATCCCAGCCTCTGGGGCTTTGCCTCTGAGGGCCCGCTCCTGCTCCTGGCATCCACTCCGTTTAGCCTCTCCTTCCTGGCTTCTGCTTCACTCTTCCTCTTAAAAGAAGAGCCCCAACTTTCCCCACACCCCTGTCGTTACTGTTCCCCCTCCTTCTCTCCCTTTTCTGGCCACATTTCTTGTCGCTTTTCCAGCCTCAGGCCTGGCCCTCCTCTGCTCACCGGCCCTCACCCGTCCCCACAGTGCGCTGTTGGGCTGGGTGCACGGCAGCCCACAAGCTGAGCGAGTGCCTTATTTTGAACTCAACCCGAGGGACACTTTTCAGACCTCAGCCTCCACGATTCCTTGGCAACACTGGAGCCTGTGACCATTTCCTCCTCAGTTTCCACTGGGAACCTCACTCATGGTCCGGGCCCAGGCATTCCTTCTCCACTCCCAGCCTTCTTCACTGCCCGCAGGGCCAACACTCCCCCTTTGCAGCACATGGGGACTCACCAGCTAAGTATGACCAAAATCCCCCTTGGCGTTTGGGCCGGCTCCGGGGAGCGCACTGCTGGAGGGCTTAGGTCGCGCTGGTAACTCGCCCGGTGGCCAGCCTGGCCTCCATAACCAGCACCCGCCTGGGCAGACAAGGCCAAGGCTGTTTGCAAGAAGCAAGAGCCTGGCTGTGGGGCCTGCGAGTTCTGACCCCCACGCTGCAAAAACAGCTGGTGGGGTGGGAAGGAAGTTAGGTGGGACAGCACCAGGCTCTTCCGGTTTCAGAGAGAATCGAAACCCTAAACTCCAGAACAGTCCACAGACATTGCCCAAATCCTTCACCGTGCCCAGCTGCATCTCGGTGTCGCCATCTCTAGAGAGCGGACTGAGACACAGGACAATTAAGGAACTTGCTTGGGATCACACAGCCTGGTGATCAGAACAAAAGGCAAGATGGGCTCTCTGCAGGTGAGGCTGGGCGCCTGCCCATCGGACTGCCTGGTCCTGGAGGCTGTGGCAAAGGCCAGGGGTGCTGGCATAGTGAGAAAGAGTACTTTGGTCTGCGGATCTGCTTCCAATGGCACTTCACACTGTGTAGTCGGCAGCCAGGCCTCCCTCTGCTGCGCACTGGACTTGCCTTTGCAGGTGGTGCTGCGCTTGGAGGCCCATCTGCTGGTTCTCCTGGGGCTGGGGTGTGGCCACAGGCCTGGCCTCGGTGCAGGAGCAGCCCACGACAGTGCCGGTCCCATCCTTGTGCTCGAGCTGCTGAGGCCTTGTCATGGAGGCCATGGAGGCATAGGTGTGCTTGGTGCCCAGCACATGGGTGGTGTCACTCTTCGCAGTTCACGGATTCCCACAGCATCTCTGCCATCACCATTTTACAAGCGAGGAAATGGACTCCGAAATCCGGGGATTCTCCAAAAGCCCCCAGAGGGCAAGCAGCCAGGATTTGGACCCAACACACAAAGAGATGTGTCCATCCCATGAGTCACTCAGGGGTGGAGCATCCATCTGAACCATTCTCACCTGGATGAGACATGAGTGACAGGAGGAAAGTCATCCACAGAGCACCAGGACCACCTGCAGGAGGCGCCGTTCTCCGGATCCCAGTTTCATGCAGATGAACCTGGGCCCACACATCACTTTCATCCTGGGCATCCCGGCCCCCCCCACTCCGCCACACACACACTACATCTTCATGGCGAACCTATGACACGCGTGTCAGAGGTGACACGTGAACTCATATTTTTGGTTGATTTTTCTTTGTTAAATGGCATTTAAATATAAAAAATAAATATCAAAAATATAAATCTTTGTTTTACTATGGTTGCAAATATCAAAAAATTTCTATATGTGACACGGCACCAGAGTTAAGTTAGGGTTTTTCAAAATGCTGACACGCCGAGCTCAAAAGGTTCTCCATCACTGATGTAGGGGGTGGGGAGGGCAGAGGGAGCACTGCCTTCAGCCTGGAAATGAGGGACCAGCAGCAGCAGCAGCAGCAGAGGGATGCAGACTGAGAGGCTGAGAGTCCATGAGGCGCCCAGGCCCTGACAGACACCGGCATCCACACGTGCAAGCACCACTGGAGTCCTGCTGGCCTGCGTGTCACTCCGCCTCCCTGAACCTCTGCTTTCTCCTCTGTGAGTCAGGAGTAACAATGCCTCCTCACAGCCTGGCTGAGAATGTGGGGCATGGAATACACCTTGAAGAGCCCGGACAGGTTCACTGATGTGCAACAATAAGAAGCTGAGGAAGAGCAGGCGACTAGCATTCACGTATGGAAAGCAAGGGTTGATCTGTGGAGCAGTGATTTCCAAATGTCTGGCCAGGAGTTTCTGGGGTGAGCCTCACTCTCTCTCGTCGCTGCCTTGCCTGTGGCCAAAGTCCCACGAACTTTCGTGGGTTCTGAGAGGTGTGGCCTGTCTTCCATGACACCCTGGTGAGATGCCACCTGGGTTTTGATTGAGCCTATCAGTAACCATAGCCAGGCCACGAAGCAGGCCCTGGGCCTTGCCCTGTACATGCCCACATGCACCTTCCTGGGTGACTGAGCGGAGCCCTGCTGGGAGCACTGGGTGTGGCAAGTGCAATTTGAGAGGCTCCCTAGGGGCTCAAGAGAGGGGGCTGGGAGAGGCCCATGGGCATTTTGCTTTATTAAAAGTGACAATGCTATGACTGGCTCTATACAAGCTGACACAGATGACAGAGCCCGGTCCTGCCTGCTACCCTACTGGGCTCCGTAGGGCTGAGGAGGGAGCAGCAGGTGATCCCCCTGGCATGCTGTGGAGCCAGGAGGCCGAGGCTGGCCATGAAAGCAGCAAAGGCCCTGCAGAACCATCCCCCGGGGGCTCAGGTCTCCGCCTAGGTAATGACAGAGAGAACACAGGCTCTACCTCAGTTATACGCTGGGAGAGAGCGAGCTCAGCAGTCCAGAGCTCTGCCTCTGTGGGCCTTGATGAGGCAGGAACTGGATTCTAATTCAGCCTCAGACCATCCAGCTGCTTAAGTGGTCCTTCAAGTGTTGGCACCCACATCTGCCAGTAGGGGATGATTGCCCCTCAGAGCCATGCGTGAGCATCCTGTGGGTGAGCGGGGGTTGGGGGGGGGAGAAATGCCTGAGCCCTGCATGCAGAGTCCTGAGGAAGCCATGGGGTTATTACTGGTGTCATGACCCAGATGTTGTATATAGTTTCCTCAGCCCTTGTGGAGAAAGGCAAGGTAATGTGATACTCACTTTACAGATGGGGAAGCTAAGACAGAGAAGGCTGTAGGCAGAATTTGTTTAAAATCTCACTGTTAGTAAGAGACAACACGAAGTCTGAAACCCTGATTTATTTAACCAGAAGCCTGCACTGCTATTTACCACCTTTATGGTACCGCAGGCATTGTGGTTTTATACTCCTGCTACTAAGGATGCTGGTAGAATTGTTTTTTTCTAGTGTAAGACTTAGAGCAACAAGCTTGCTTTGATGCAGTCAAACCCAGCCATTATAGAGCATTACAGAGATGAGGAAGTATTGCCTTATTCCACCCCTCATGCCACAGCCACCCCCCCACAAAAAAAATCGAGGTGAGTTCTAACAAAGATGCATATAATAATATTATGAAACCACAGAAATAAAACAAGTTTGGGGAATAAAAAGTAAAAGTAGAGAAGTAATAACACTTCATATCAGCTGAAGGACCAACATAGATGCTATGATTGAGCTGTGAGTTTCACTCTGAGCTTTAGCATAAAAAAGAGTCCTTATTGGTTCCATCAACCTCATAGTCACAAAGGGAGCCTGCTGGTTGCTCGAGAAACCCAAGGTTCCCATGGTGAAACATGGCAATGTCCTTCTTTTGTGGATGTACCTAGGGCTTCTAGAAATTTCCAAACACGAACACAGTACTGGACCTCCTTCAACTGCCCCTAAGGTGCTCCCTCCATGGAAGGGAGGCCTCCGATTGCACAAGGCTTTTGCATTGCTGCAAAGAAGCAGGCTATGCCCAGGCAGCTGGTCAACTCTGTTAGTCACTGGACTAGGAAATTTATCTAGTGGGGACCATCCATCAGAAGGTTGTTTGGTTTTTTGAAAGTTCATAAAGGAACTTCAATAAACATTGGAGTTGGGAAGATCTCCAGAAAAGCTCTCATGTCCTACCATTCAACATCAATTACCCCAAACAGGAAGACACCAATTATGACCCCCTCAGGAAGAGACATACCTTGCTCCGCTAAATAGAAAGTGCAGTTACTTGATTACTCCAGCAGGACGAAAGAAGATTTTCTTCTAGCCCAGCAACAAGCCCAGCCAATGGAAATGCCACAGCTCAGCCAATGAGAAGCTGTCGTCACCTGAACTCTTACTTTCTTCCAATGAACTTGCATTTTTCTCTTGCTGATGACTTTCTTGTCTCATCCTTCTTTTTACTCCTTGTGTAACCTCTAGGAGTAGCTCTCTGCTTGCTAGATGAGATGCTGCCCAATTCACGATTTAATAAAGCCAATTATGTCTTCAAATTTACTCAGTTAAATTTTATTTATTAACAGTTTCTAGGCAACCAATCAATGTGTCTCTCTCACATTGATTTTCTCGGTTGACTGGGCTCTTCTGGGGGATTCTGGTTTAGGGTGTCTCATGCAGTTGCAGTCTGATGGTGGCTACGCTGGAAGGTGTGAGGGCTCAGCTAGGCTGGACATCCAAAATGGCTCACTGACGCCAGCTGTTCAGGTCATGGGCTGGGAACTCAGCTGCCATTGTCAACACCACCTGTGGTCTCTCAGGTGGCATGGAAGTGAGTACCAGGAGAGCATTCCAAAAGCAAGTTTCAAGAGGTCCAGATGGAAGCTACAGGCTTCTTTTGGCCCAGTCTCAGAAGTCCTAGAATGTTACTTCCCCCTGGCCAGACAAGTCTGAGATCAGCCTATTTTTAAGGAGATTCGATTTCTCCTCTAGACACAAGAGGTAGCTTGTGCTTATAGGGAGGTAAAGACAAGATTGTGGCAACCTGGAACCCTCCTGGACCTGCCAAGTGGAGTGCGGGAAGCTGGGATGATAGGTTTCTACAGGCCCTGTTTCATGTTGCTGTTGACAGCAGTGAGAGTGGTGAGGATACCTCACATTGTACTTTAGAGAGCATTTTTCATATCCACATGGTTTGCCAGTGAGTGAGCACAAGGTTAGTAAGAGGCAGAGTGTTCTTGCATCTACCTGTGTCATAGAGGAAGAGGCAAGCTCAGTGACTTCCTCACTTGACACGGGTCTTCTGCCATCGGCCCATGCTCTAAGCCATCATCCTGACAGGAGATTACCGCGCTGAATTCCATGTCCTCTCGCCCAGTGGCTTCTCCCCAGTCGGGCAGCAGGATCACTCCTGGGCTCTTACTTGGCTCTCTTGCTCTTTGGCAAATGCTCGGCTAACGGGATTTTCTTTCTTGTGGTACAGGATTAGAGAGTACACAAAGGAGTCAGAGAAAGTCGAACCTCCCTGGGTGGTGCAGGGTGGGCTCTGGGCAACTTCCAGCTGCCCCACTGCACCTCCCTGACTATTACTGGCTACTTCTTTCTAGACTACTGGCCTAAGGGGAGCACATATCAAGGGCTAACTTCTAGTCAGATCCCCAGCCTCCCCAAGAATACTCAAATCATTCAAGGGTGTGTGTATATGTGTGTGTGTGTGTGTGTTTAATGAGTTTGTTGATATTTTAAAACAGATTGCATTAATAGACCTTGTTCAAGCCTCTCCCTTACTTCCTCTGCACCTGACCCATCTAGGGGTGGTCTGGTTTCAGTTAAATAAGGTTTGTATTGGGGCCAACACAGGTAAAGAGCATCAGTGACACTGGCTGGAGGCCCATGAATGTGACAGCCAATCCAGAAATCATGGGTCTGAACACCAACAGCATTGATGGCTGACCCCTCAGTGTCACATACAAGTGACGCTGTCCCTGAGACTCTGGAGAACACAGCTGTCACACACATGCCCACCTTGAAGGAAAAGTGCTTTGCCTATGGAGTGAGCTAGTGCCAAGGCCAGGCATAGGAGTAAGAATGGAATTTTCACCCCAAGAAGTAAACTCTGCTTTGACCCTGGCATAGGGTTAGAAGGAGAAAACTGACAGCACATAAAGAGAATTAACCTCTGAAACATGACTTCCCTCCCCAAGAACGCAGCCCAGGAAATGCTGCACCCTGTTGCCAGCATGCAGCTTATGTCCAGCCTGGACCTGGGACAACCAGCAATCCTATATAATAAGAGAGGAATATGCTAATTAGCCATTATGCCCTGAGGCATAACGACCA